TTATGTCATGTCGAGATCTGTCTTTTATGGTAAAAGCAGTGTATAGCCTTCAAAGAGAGGAGCAACATATCACACCGACCTGAGGATTGTGCACCCCATTGGCTATTTTTTAAAATAAATTTGGCATAAGACAGGGTTTGTTAATTAAAAGTATTTCAGATTGAATGATGTACAAAAACAGGCATCACTGCAATTCTTTTCATATAATAAAATATTCGGATTTATATTTTTAAAAATATGGTTATGATTTAATAGAGGAAACTATTCAAGCAATAAAACTTTAGGTGTGAATGTAGCTGACCCTAGAGGTAATTAACGGAAAAGTTAGTCAGTAGTGTGGTCTGATCAAATCAAGTCAAGTAAAATACACTAATAAATGGGAAATAATTAAATAAAAACAAATAAACAACAGGTTACACATTTAAATGGTTAAATTAATAAAGATTTGATTTATTTCTGAATTAAAAAATATATAAAGATATTGATTGATGAAAAATTATTAAGTGATTGGAATGATTTCTATTTTCCACTTCATCTAAAAGGATCAAAAATATATGGATCAAAAAGTATATGGAGCAGGCTATTGAGGTTAAAGGGACAATAGCAGCCTTTCCAATCAGCCTTATTTCGTATGGAAATACCGTAAAACTAGGAAGTGGTACTGGATTATGTCATGTCGAGATCTGTCTTTTATGGTAAAAGCAGTGTATAGCCTTCAAAGAGAGGAGCAACATATCACACCGACCTGAGGATTGTGCACCCCATTGGCTATTTTTTAAAATAAATTTGGCACAAGACAGGGTTTGTTAATTAAAAGTATTTCAGATTGAATGATGTCCAAAAACAGGCATCACTGCAATTCTTTTCATATAATAAAATATCCGGATTTATATTTTTAAAAATATGGTTATGATTTAATAGAGGAAACTATTCAAGCAATAAAACTTTAGGTGTGAATGTAGCTGACCCTAGAGGTAATTAAAGGAAAAGTTAGTCAGTAGTGTGGTCTGATCAAATCAAGTCAAGTAAAATACACTAATAAATGGGAAATAATTAAATAAAAACAAATAAACAACAGGTTACACATTTAAATGGTTAAATTAATAAAGATTTGATTTATTTCTGAATTAAAAAATATATAAAGATATTGATTGATGAAAAATTATTAAGTGATTGGAATGATTTCTATTTTCCACTTCATCTAAAAGGATCAAAAATATATGGATCAAAAAGTATATGGAGCAGGCTATTGAGGTTAAAGGGACAATAGCAGCCTTTCCAATCAGCCTTATTTCGTATGGAAATACCGTAAAACTAGGAAGTGGTACTGGATTATGTCATGTCGAGATCTGTCTTTTATGGTAAAAGCAGTGTATAGCCTTCAAAGAGAGGAGCAACATATCACACCGACCTGAGGATTGTGCACCCCATTGGCTATTTTTTAAAATAAATTTGGCACAAGACAGGGTTTGTTAATTAAAAGTATTTCAGATTGAATGATGTCCAAAAACAGGCATCACTGCAATTCTTTTCATATAATAAAATATCCGGATTTATATTTTTAAAAATATGGTTATGATTTAATAGAGGAAACTATTCAAGCAATAAAACTTTAGGTGTGAATGTAGCTGACCCTAGAGGTAATTAAAGGAAAAGTTAGTCAGTAGTGTGGTCTGATCAAATCAAGTCAAGTAAAATACACTAATAAATGGGAAATAATTAAATAAAAACAAATAAACAACAGGTTACACATTTAAATGGTTAAATTAATAAATTGAGTTCTACCAATGGGTAGTTTCTCTTCATGTTGTACATGCCATGTTACAAATTTCTCATTTACTTATTGTATTCTCTATGTAATACAGTTGTAAATTCCATTGAAATAATAAAAAAAAAAAAAAAAATTAATAAAGATTTGATTTATTTCTGAATTAAAAAATATATAAAGATATTGATTGATGAAAAATTATTAAGTGATTGGAATGATTTCTATTTTCCACTTCATCTAAAAGGATCAAAAATATATGGATCAAAAAGTATATGGAGCAGGCTATTGAGGTTAAAGGGACAATAGAAGCCTTTCCAATCAGCCTTATTTCGTATGGAAATACCGTAAAACTAGGAAGTGGTACTGGATTATGTCATGTCGAGATCTGTCTTTTATGGTAAAAGCAGTGTATAGCCTTAATTGTCTTCTTAAAATTGATCTCCATGATCAAATTAAACAGTATAAAATTATAATTTTCAAAAATAACAACAATAATTTACATGAAACAAAGAAGAAGAAAATAAGAAGGTAATAAATGATAAGTTTCCAGTACTGATATTTTACATTGATGACATAGGAAAATTATAACAAGACTTAAATCAAACAAACAATACTTAAATCAAGTGTGCAAATTTTACAAATTAATATCCTACAAACGTATAAATTATTTAACAATTAATAACAGGCTATTTGATAGTATCAGTTTCAATTATGAATATATTTATCATTTATGATATCATCAACCTATTCTATCTCATTAACTAAATATACAATATTACTAATCAGTTAAATATTTGAATAAATAGAATTCACAGACAATTTAATGACAGTACATACAAAATGATCATATAGAATGCATTTTTGACAGATACAAGCCACATATCTAAATAATTTATCATAACGGATAAACATATAACCAGCCATAAATAATAGTTTAGTTAAAACTGTCTTAAATAATTATAATATTTTAGAGCTATTATTTACAGTTAAAACTGTATCTACTGTTACAATCCAAGAAGGACAGAGAGCTTCAAACTTTTATGGGTATGAAAACTAGCAAACAGTCAAAAAAACATTGTCAGTTTGTGCCTAAAGTAAATTCTTAGATAAAATTGTAGTTTTATAAATTATTTAGATAAGATTGAAGAAATCATTTAAAAAAAAAAAATCATTGGCACATGGAATCTATTTTGCTTTACAAAATACACACAATTTACTGACAACTAAATGGTGCATAAATCAATCTGAAATCATTAACAGAAAAAGTAGAACAATATCATCTAAAATTGTAATTTATCAGATTATATAACCATTTTTGGGGATGGCAAAAAAATACCACGACACCCACTTGCCGGATTCATCACTCTCTTTACTAGTACCAGTACATAACCATCACTAATCTCTTTATTTTTTTTTATTATTTTTTTTTTAATGTTGATACACACTGAAATGATTTATTGATTGTAAATGTTGTAAAAAAATAGTACCAAGTCAAATAGTTTACAATTATTTATCATTAGCACCCAGCAGTTTCCTTATTAAATAACAAATTTTTAATTGATACTATTAATTATAAAAATAATAATTAAAATAGGAACTGCTGACATACCAAAAAAGAACTAATTTCTTTCCAAACTGCTATCACAAAATCAGATCAATAATGAAGATAGTCTTTATACACTAACAAATACTGTTCCCCAAAATAAAAACAAACAAATAAGTCTTTTAGTTAAGAATTGAGGCTGTAAACACAACCATCATTAAAATTATTGGCAACAATGTCATAGTATATTATTTTTCATTAAGCCAAAAAAATTATCAACAAAAAAATCTTCCCATCAAAAAATAAATAACAAATTCATGAATAGATATTAATCTCACATTCATCAATAATGTGATACATGTGAATATATATTGTTTTTTTAATATGTCACAATATACAAGTCAAGGAGATGGTCATTTAGTTTTATTTTGTTTTTTCAAATAAATTTCATCACCTTTGATAAAGATTTAAGAAGTTTTAATGGGCATTAATAATACATACTTATAATCTATAAAGTGAAATTTATATCACTGGGATATATATTAGGACCTTTAATAAGTTCCCAATGTTTCCTAACAGATGGCAGCACTAGAACTATGTGTGTTTTATTTTAGATGGTAAGGCAATTTTCTAAGAACTACGTTCCATAACTTGGACTTCATTTTAGGTTAGTTGGTCATAGTCTAAATAACTTTTTTTTTCGTAGTTCTAAAAATTTTGAGTTCTGTGCTAAGCAAAGAGTATATGCAGGGAATTTTATTCAAATTATTATTCGCTTCAAGAATAATGATTTCAATCTTGGAGAGAAAAAATGCTCAGGTGCACCGAAAATAATTGAAGACAAAAAAATGGAAAACTTACTTAATGAAGACCCGTGTCAGATGCAAGCTGATGGTTTCAAAACGATTGAAAACATTAGAAATGATCCAGAAACATGGACATTTGGTGCTATATGAGTTAAAGCCGAGAGAAAATGAGTGACATTTTCTAATGTGTGAATCTCTGCTTCACTGGCAGAAAAGGAAAAGTTTTTTTGCATCTTATCCCAACTGGTGATTAAAAATGGATATAGGAAGATAATCCTAAGCTTTAAAAAATTGAGAGGTAAGCTCTGCCTCTTTTCAAGCTTCTCTACATTTAGTGTTTAGAGGGGTAAACATGGTATACATTATTATGAGCTACTCAAATCGAATGAAACTATCACGGAAGATCACTATCGACTACAATTTATGTGTCTAACCAGAGTCCTAAAATTTATTTTTTTACCACTTACTATAAACAAAGCATCATTTTTAACAAACAAAAAAAATCAAGAACTTATTCAAGGTCTTAATATTAAAATAATTTATATTTTTTCACATCAATTATTAAGTCATCACAATTAAAAAAGAAGAAATTAAGAAAAAGTTTACTGAAAAAGTAAAATGGCATACTTTTTTTTTTTTTTTTTTTTTTTTTTTTTCCCTGCCTGGCATTACTGCTGTATGGGGTTTCGGCAGCACTGTGGGTCAATACGTAGGGAATAAGTACATATACCGCTGACAATTAGGACTCTTTGTTTGTAAAATGGTATATATAATTTATTCCAATATTCCATAATTCATTTCATACAGATCATTTAAATTGTAAAAACAATAATGCAACTAGGTTAAGTAATATCCCATCATAGTAAACGGTTATATGTGGGAATAGCTATTCAATCTAGATATGTTAAAAAATTATTAATCTTTAGATAAATCTTAAAAAATCCTATGTGTCAATGAATTTAATATTCTCGATTTGACAATAAACGTTTAGTGTCACCATTGCCAGATTTTTTAGACTTGGAATAATACATTATAATTATCAATAATCCAAAAGCAAAAACAAAACAACTAACTGTTACTAAAATTGCACCTGTTAAACCTTCCCCATCATCAGAACTTTTATTTATCTCTGCTGGTTTAGATTCTTGAGGAAAAAGTTTAGGTGTCTCGGTAACTTGAGGAACAGTAGTGCCTGGATTATCTGGAAACAGAATAATTGTATAGTTAAATTAAGTCCTATAATTCCAAATGCATTTTTATACCAATAATCTTTTTAACGATAAGATTTAAATTCCATCAAAACAAAAACCATAAAACATGTTTATAGTTTCAATTCTTAAATAAAAGACCATTATATTTCTAATGAGTTACTAGATAAATTGACTTTTTCTACATGAACCTCACATAAAATAATGAACCATTTAGTTTAAGAGATGTGAGAATTCTGTGTGTCACTAAATTAGGATTCATAAATACACTATTATATCCATTTAAATTAAACTGGTTTTTAAAAATAAATAATGGTTGGAAATGAGACATCTAATGGGGACAGAGCAACAAGACCTTAGAAGCATGAACAAGTCTATTAAAATAATGATCAAAAAACTTTACACTATTAATTAGTGGTTAGGTGAATAAGCCATAAACTCTAACATAAATGTTGTTATTTATAAAGTAGATAGCAGCTATATAAATAAGAAAATCCAAAAAGATCGTCAACATAATTTTTTTCCTAAGTTCCATTTAAAATAACCCAACTTGAATTATTTTGTATTATTTTTCTCAACATTTATGATTTTTAAAATTGTTTTAACAGTTATTATCAATTTAATGGAGAATTCAAAACTATAGTTGATACCTATATAGTCTAAATAAAGACCCAAAGCCAAAAATGGGTTTTCTTTCATTTCCTTCTATAATCGTTCATTGGCAAGAGAACAGGGCAGAACCCTGAAATGTTGAAATGACTACTAAAGGGTCAATCCATTTTAAATCACCCAGATCATATTGCTCGACATTTTTTATTTTGATATTTTTTTTATCAGTTAATCCTAATTAATGGAGAGTATAATACTATAGGTAAAAATGTTTTGTGATTAACAATTTGTTCATGGGGGAAAATTTTAAATTTACTTTTTGACTGAAAAGATTTTTTAGGAAAATATCTTTAACTCAGGTAATTTTGTAGGTATCAAAACAAACTAAAAACTTAAATAATTATCAGAATTGTCTTTACATTTTTCGTTCATCAATACATCAACTAAGAAAGAAAAAGAGTTGCTCTCAAAATCATTGATATTGATGAGTAATATTTATTTCCAAACTCAAAATTTATTCTATCCAACGATCCAATTTATTCTATTCTGTTACTAAGTTCCTTATGGATGAATAAAAATATTCCCAACATTAGTGAAAATGTAAATAAGTCTAAACAGAATTTATTAATGTGTAATACATTAAATATTTCTTTATTCATCCATAAGGAACTTAAAAACAAATTAAAACTGTTGGGTTAAGTCAATTTTGAGTTTAGAAATAAACATTACACATCAATATCAATGGTTTTCAGACCAATATTTTCCAACCTAATCACAATAACAGTTACAGTTAATAAGGTAACTGTTCACTGTTAAGGCGCTCACGTATAATATGAGTCGACATTATAGTAAATGTCACTGCTGCAAAAACTTATATATCTACCATAGAGTTTATATAATGATAAAACTAAAATTCAATTCAGTTATTTCATATTGCAGGATGCTGATTTATCATTTAGATAATAAAATTTTCAGCCTTATTTGATACACCATAACTCTGGATCCAATTGAGTCTGATTTCCCAAATTTGTGCCTTATGTTCTTATTACAAAGAGTTATTAAATGAAAAACTTTCATAATTTTTCCAGTCTCTTTTCTGATATCCAAATTTGGGTGTTTTTAGAAATTCATATTTAAGATAGTATAAGAATTTCAAGATTGAAATTTCTTCATCAAGTTGTATAGTGATAGAAATATATAAGATAAAAAAAAACTGAAGTTGAGACTCTTTTCATTATTACACTTTTACAGCCCTAAAAATCATGTTTTGTTAATTATCGTTTTATAGCTGTGAATTTTCTTAACAATTTTTCTCACTACTTAGGGGATGTATTGTGAGGATAAAAAAATTAAAGCAAAACATCATTATAATTTTAGTTTTAGTTTTGCTTTGATATCTGCAAAAATAACTGACTCCAAGTAGGTAGGATATGCTGATACCGACTCTCATTACACAATAATATTTGATGGCCTATAACTAATAGGAAGGTGCTAAAAGCCGAATCAAAAAATTAAATGGAGCAATTGTTCAATTTTACATACGGAAGAACAAGACATTGTCCAAAAAAAACAAAAATTAGGCTGTTTAAACAACATAAAATCGGTCCTAGTCGACAGCAGTGAAGCATGGAAGGTGACTAAAAATGTTATCCGACCCCTTCAGACCTTCATCAACCGATGCTAGCAAAGAATCCTGAGAATCTGGTGGTCTGGTAGCATCTCTAACAAAAAGCTCAAGAGTACCACAGAACAGCTTCCTATCCACCATTATGAAAAATAAATAGAAATGGACAGGACACACTTTCAGGAAAATAGATAGCATCATCAAAAAGAAGTTTTGCAATGGAATCCCTACAGAACAAGAAGAAGAGAAAGACCTACATGGCACTAATAGAGAAACATGGCAGTGATCTGTGCAAACTGACCTGAGCCGGGCTGGCAAGACAAGAAGCATAAATTATTGCTGCAAAAAGAGAGGAATGGAATGCACTTGTAGGTGTCCTATGCTCCACCAACAGTTGACAGTGGTAATAATAAAATGATAATAAAACTAATAGAACCAGTTGAGTCTCAGTGACCAATTTTTCACTCAGTCCCATTTGTGATGTCCAATATCAAAATCACTGAAAACGACTTCAGACCATTTTCTAGAATTCATACTTTAAAAAAAGGCAAGGTTGTACTACACTGTGGCAAGGAAGTAAACCAGTGTAATTTATCTTAAACAATAAATAATAGATAACAAAAGATTTATTCATATTTTCAACTACAAAGAATGAATATTTCTGTTTATCTTTTGTCTAAATAATAAATAAATTCAAGTTATCTATTATCTTTTCATTTATTATTTGAGTTTTTCAAATAAATTTCGAATAATTGAAGTAATAGTTATAGACATTATTTTCACAAAAAAAAAAAAATCTGCCAAGTAAAGTCAATATAGCTTCCTCACTGTTTTCATCGGCTCTATATTTCAAGGTCTTTAATTTTTCGTATGAGAAAAAAAATCTCTGGGAGAAAGCGTTTTCGAAAATACAGTAATCCCTCAACATTCGCAGGTTTAATATCCACAAATTTTCTTTATCAGCGAATATTAAAATGCGGAAGAGTTCCACATTTCCAGATCGCATATTCTATGATTCGTGATTTAAAAAAAAAATCCCAGTACATACTGAACATTCATATCATTATTGTTGGTGCAAAAGGTTGTATGTAAAAGTTAAGTGTTTTACAGAAGAGCATGATGCAGTATTTTTATTGTCCTCTGCTATTTTCCATAGTATTCCTATCAGTTGCAGATTACAAAATGCCACCTTCAGCACAAAAATAATAAAAATTATACATAAGACTTTTAGTAGCGATATATAATTAATAGATATGTTTTCACTTGTAAAATGAATGGATCCAAAAATCCATTGGAAAACACTTAACTTTTAGTTTATTTGGAATTAATGAGACCAATATTTTTCTTCAGTCAGAACAAAACTAATTTAAGCTGGAATATAAAAATATGCGTGAAGTTCATACAACTTTAATGTTTTAAGGAGGAAATCGAGACCACGACGAGCTGGCTGAACTGAATAGAAATAAACAAAATCACAAATAAGACTTTTTTTTTACAAACTCAAAGTAAAAATTAATTCTAAGTTCACTGAACATTACACGAAATCTAAGTAACAGCAGTTAGTGTCATTCCAGTCTACCTAACAGACAGAGAATAGAATGTAACACCCAAGTAAAAGGAGAAAGAACTGTCAGGTATAGGTATCAAAGTGAAATTTTGAAAATTCCCTCAAAAGCCAATAAATTTAAGGAAATTATACAGGATTCATTTCTAAAGAGATATGATTGGAATGAAGAAATATACAGTCATTGGAAAAAGATAAAATCATCTATAAAGGAGAGCACCGAGGAGCTATTGAAGGCAAAACATAAAGTTATGGGTAAGGTACGGTACGATGAGGAATCCGATCAAGCACTTAAAGACAGAAATGAGAATGCTTACTGTGGGCACAAGAAGAAGTAGGGAGGAGTACATCTCTAAGAGAAGGATCGCAAAGAAGGTATGTAGGCAGAAGAGGAGAAGTTTTGAAAAAAGCAAACTTCAAATGCTCCAAAGTGATTTTGATAACAAGATAACAAGAAAATTTTACAAAGGCATGAAGGAATATAAGAATGGTTTCCAACCCAAAACTATAGTATACGAAAATAAAAAGAGGGAACTAGTCAGTGATCCATCGAAATAATGGAGACATGGAGAGAATATTTTATCGATTTATTAAATGTTGGAAAATCATTCCCAAATAGAGTAGCGAAACTACCCCAGTGTAGGACAGGAAGAAGTTAATAACAATGATGTGGAACCACCAGATTATGAAAATTTTCTGGATGTAATAGCCGCTCTGAAGAATAATAGAAGTCCTGGGATGGATAGCATAGATGTAGAAATGGTGAAGAATTGGGGTGAACCTATGCTGAAAGAGATATACCACTTAATGATGCAGATCTGGATTACAGAACAGATGCCTGAAGAATGGACTACTGCTAATGGACTCATATGCTTTGTTTTTAAAAAAGGAGAAAAAACAAAATGCGACAATTATAAAGGTATATCATTGTTAAGTACGGGCTAAAAAGTTTTTGGAGTTTTACTAAATAAAAAAGTTCAGTTGTGGTCCGAGAAGATTTTACGTAAATACCAGTGATTCAGACATGGTAAATCAACTATAGATCACATTTTCTCGTTAAGGCAAATGTTAGAAAAAATATGCAAATACCCAATAGAGTTACATCACATTTTTATAGATATTAAACAGGCATATGACAGTATAAACAGAGAAGAATTACTGAAGGCTATGATACAATTAGGGATCCCAAAAAATCT